ATTCACGTCAGGTGATGACGTGAAGGAGCCAGTTACAGGCATTTCCAAGCTGTAACCTCTAAAAAATTTCGTGAGAAGGGTAATGCGCGATTCGTTAGTCAATGGGATAAATGTCTAAAAGCTGAATGGAACTTTTAAATAAAAGTTCTCCACTTGTCATACTTCCACATTGGCTCATTTTCACTTAATTCGTCCTCGTACATTTAAGCTATGTTAAAAAGAGGTTGCAAATTAATATTTCAACGATAAATTACAGAAACGGTCGTTAATTCTGATCAATTAACTTTGAAACCCATAAAAACACAAGTGGTGTTAATATGGTCTAAAATTAGTTTATTAAAATTGTTTCTCATGTTGAACAGTACACTGTAAAAGATTCCGGATCAAAATACTGTAAAAAGTACTGGCACTTAGGGAGGCCGATACTTTTCACCAAAACATCCATTTTTACCGGTACAAAAATCTGATATAATTTTCACAGTAATACTTACCGTAAAACTTCTGAATCACCCTAGTTAAATAAATGCTACTGTAGTAATTAAGGTATAATAATTTACGGTAAAAATGGATGCCATGGTAAAAATATAATTCAAAATTAATTAATATAAATAAGAATATTAAAAAATACATTTCATTGTATATAATTTTCTTCTGTAAAAACTGAAAATAACATTATATTTTAATTAAAAGAGCTAGACAAGCATTATTCAAATTACATAGCTTTAAATAATATTGAATGTTTTATATTATAAACAGCTAATGTATCGTGTCTTTTAATTAATAATTTTTTTAGCCATATTTCTTAATCTTTTTTCAAAAAAGAAAAACATTTTTGTAGAAAAAAAAGTATTTCTGAGCCTAAATGGCAAGATAAATTTAACAAAATAAAATAATACATTGGAATTTATATATTGCATTCTCGTTTCTGGGATTATATCACTAATGTCTGCTGAAAGACATTTTAAAACTACTGAATTTCATCAACGATGGAAATTAACTTTGCTGGCACTAGTTAAACTCTCCTTTTAATATAATGCTAATTTCTCTTAACAATATAAGGCTATATTTCTATGGTTTTGAAATATTAGTTGACAAAGTTTTGATGGTTGTTCCGCTTGAAGTTTAACTTGAACCATAATTGCATACTTTAATGAGTGAGTGAGCAGGTGAAAATAGTTTGCTGAGAGTTTTAGGATATTTTGGAGGTAAACATGTGGTGATCCAAAACTCGAAATATTATTTCTATCTGCTAAGTTCCTATTCAGAACTGCACAGGCATGTAACATGAAGAGAATTTCATTACCTTAATTTGATGTAAATAGCACTCTCCTTTACAATAAAGGCCGAGGAATGTTAGGTGTGATTTAAACGTTAGGTGTGATGAAATTATCAAGGGTAGTTGAAAGATCAGAATTAAGCATTTTAAAAAAACTATTTATAAAAATCTCGGTTTAACGAGAAAAAGTCATTTTTCAGGAAAAAAAATACAAGTTCTACAGGAAAAACTGAAAGAAAAGCTAAAGAATTAGTTAAACTTACATATTTACCTATCCCTTTGGTATATAATTTCACAAAAATTTGATTTCTTTCGAAGCTGTGAATACTGTATGAACAGTAAAATGCGCCAAAAGATTGTATATTAGTTACTTATACTCTTTTATATATAGTAAATAAAAATTTCATCAAAACATTGCAAAGACCTCCACTTCAAACCGTTTAATTAAAAAGACAATCATTTAAGTTTGAAGTAATTTCACAACAGCCGTGGTTTAGTCTAATGTAACTGTACCCGTGTTAATGTCAGATAGTCGGCGATTGCAAAGAAAATAAGTAATTTTTTTTAAACGCACGTACTCACAATTGGGTATAATATGAAAAAAACACAACTACTTCGATTTAGTAGGAACAACATATGACGCAATGCTATACGAATGGAATTTAGTTGTTGTTTATTTAGTTATTGTTATTAGTAGTTGTTGTTATTTGTTTTAGTTGTTGTTGTTTTCATGAAAAATGCAAGCATTACTAACTTTTCTTTATAATGCAATAAAATCTGGCGAGCAGCTATTTAAACGATCGAACACTTCGTTTGTTT